TTTAAAATTCCAATAGTTGGGCACCGTTCTCAAAATTAATCGACTCCACTGCCTATAATAAAATCACGTGCGCCAATAAGAGCAGAGTCGTTCTTCCGGGGAAAAATATAGAAGAATATATCATCATCAAAGACTCGACTCTTGCCGGATATAGAGGTCGCAATAAGATACCCATGGAAGTATTTTTCGAGAACTACTTTGATGGGAAAATCGATTTAAAGGGTGACGCGCTTGAGGCCTTGGAAGCCAGATACGATTGGGCTAGCTTCGGATTCAGCATGGGCCAATTCAAATTCTTCCTCACTCAGTGGGTCCCCGAGACTCTCTGGCATTCCAGACAACAAGACAAAGACCAAATTCGTGACACTTATGATCGTGGTGATGACTTTTATGCCGCGTTTTTGGGCAAGACCATGGTCTACACATGCGGTATAGTATCAGATCCCGCCAAGAATGAAACTCTAGAGGAACTCCAGGAAAATAAATTGAACCTCGTTTGCGACAAGATTAGGTTGAAGCCCGGGGACCGTCATTTGGATATTGGATGTGGGTGGGGAACACTAGTTGCTCATGCTGCAAAGAATTATGGATCTGATTCTGTTGGGGTTACTCTCGCGAGAAATCAAGCCGACTTTGGGAATGCAAGGCTTAGAGAGTGGGGCGTTGATCCGAGCAAAGCAAGGATTTTATGTATAGACTATCGTGACACGCCAAAATTACCAAAGTACGACAAGATTACTTGTCTCGAGATGGCCGAACATGTCGGTGTTTTACGATTCCAGACATTCCTATTGCAAGTGAGAGAGATGCTGGACGATGATGGTCTGTTCTTTTTACAGATTGCTGGATTACGGCGGTACGTTTTCCAAACATGCGTGTTATTATTGAATTAATCGATTAATTGATGATGCATCTATGTAAATTTGTTTACATGATTATTGATCCATCATCGTATCTTTTTCAAACAGGACTTGGCAATACGAAGACTTTATATGGGGCTTGTTCATGGCCAAATATGTATTCCCCGGTGCTGATGCTTCTTGCCCTCTGTATTGGGTGATTGAACAATTGGAGAGAGCTGGTTTTGAAATTCACGATGTCGACACCGTTGGCGTTCATTATTCTGCAACTATCCACCGCTGGTATCTGAACTGGGTGAAAAATAAGGCTTCCGTCGTCGAGAAATATGGGGACAAGTGGCATCGGTATGTATGGAACGATGACATTAATCGCGGTGTAGTATGGTGTAGTTGAGGAGTAACGAGATGAGTAATTTTCTTTTTCTTTTGTATCTCATGTAGCATCTGGGAAATCTTCCTTGCATGGTCTGTCATAGTTGCTCGGCAAGGAAGCTCGACGTGCTTCCAGATAGTGGCTCACAAGAATCTCAATAGTTTTGATCGCGCCAGTATTATATCCAAAAGACTCACTGCCTTTTGAACGATATGCAAGATTTCTAATTCGAATGTACGTAAACTTTTGTAACCAAAAGAAATATTGTACATATCACTACATTATTCAGACTTGTATTGGATATGGCAAAATATAATAACATGATATTGTGCATCTATCATTACATTCGTAATACAAGTATATTATTATGACTAATATCCATGAAATACGTAGCGTTTCTAGAAATACAAAAAAAAATGAAGAAGCAAGATTTACATGATAATCCAATATCTATATCTAATGACAAAACTGTTACATGTCCAATATCCATTATCACTCAACAGTTTTCAATCACAACCACTATCGTCCTTAATCACTCCGATCCGATGGTATAATGTCCTAGCCCTAATGTAAGGATCCAGCTGGATCTGTGCCTCCCTCAACCTCTTTTTTAATTCCTCCCTTTCTTTAACATTAGCCGGCGATGGATCCGCTAGCCATTTTCTAGTAATTTCTTCGAATTTGTTCTCCAGCTCTCTTCTTATTCTCAACTTGTCCTCTTTCGTTTTCGTATCTGCCATCCGTGCATTTTCATCCGACTTTGGTGGAACATATTTGTATTCCCACGTATTGTTACCGCCGAGAGAAGCAAGTAAGGTATCTGATGAGATGTATTCGAGGAGTTCGTTGGCACCGTTGGTGAATTTTATTTTCGAAGCGACTACCGGGTCGATTAGAGGAGAGATGACTTTCCAGACAACGGAAAAAACCCAAGGCGCACAGTGGACTAGGCAAAAGCCAAGGGATTCAGGGTAATAGGCTTCGAAGCATTTTATCATAAAGTTTATGTATTGATAATCCTAGAAGGGTAAAGGGTGAATTTAGCTTGTGGCTGCAATGAACGGAATATTATTGATAATCTAATGGATCACATAAACATACCACGTTAGATAAACTGAATCCATCCATGTTAAATACAAGACAAGCTGTCTCAACAGGAGGAGCGACCATCAGACGAGATGTCTCCATTGTCCATAAAGTAAACTTTTGTAGTATTTCGAGCGACTGATCATCCTTCTTATGATGACGGACGTTAATGTAACTAGATTGCGCAAGATAAATCAGTCCCGAATATTTCACGGTTTAAGGCTTGTGTGCATGTCTTTTTCGATCCCTTACCAAATAGGCCTTCCCTCTTTGTCGAATCCATGAAGAAAGCTTTTCCCGCTAGTCAATTGGTGATCAAATCCCTTCATTCGTTTCGCCTCAAAATATTGCTTCAGTCCCAATTCTCCGTCTGAAATAATCGATTCGATACCGCTCTGCAAATTCCACTTTAACGTCGATACCAACATGGCAAGCGCTTTGTGTGCGTCCCACTTTCTTGCACGGAGAAATCGAAGCAAAATCCCGTCCGGGTCATCGAATGAGATTAGTCGCCACCATGCTTGACGGAGTTCAGAAATGGAATAGAGTTCGAGGGCAGAGGCGAGTTCACGGAATTCGTTGTACTTGTCGGGCGACGAAGAGTCGTAGGCAATTGCGTCGGTGGTTTTCTTTCGGGAGAGGTAATTCTTGGAATTCTTTGTAGACTGAATGGCAGGGGCAGAGTCTGCAAACAAGTCTAGTAACATTCTCCAAAATTGTGTCAAGACCTGTTGCTGATCAGACGTTACGTTGCCAATTCTGCCCGAGGTGGGAATTTTTACTTGCTGTTGTTGAGCCAAGGCGGCAGACATTTTCTCTTTAGCAAATAAAGTGGGTGGTTGCGTTTGTTGGGAGGAAATGGCACAAGTGGGGAGGAATTAATGTGTGTTATAAGTGATAATAATAACTAATGTAATTATTAAAACATTAACAATGAACAGTTCTAACGAATCTAATAACGAAGCAGAATATAAATAACTCAATGGATAATAATAGTAATAATAAATATAAATAAGCTCAATTATTTGTGAGATCGCCTCCCCACAACCTGTTCTCCCTGAGTGTGTGCAACCATTTCGATTTAGCGTTAGACAATCATTCTCGTGATGCACAATTGCGACGATTGGTCTAGGGGAACAATATAGTGTATTCTGGTATAGTATTTATTAGGGTATATGCTGGGGGGTAGCGATGGATGAAAGAGTATATAGTATGGGCTAAAGAAACTATGCCAGCAACGCCACTACGTTTATCATAGTAACTGATCAGATTGGCTGGTATTTTTCGGCCGAGTAGCCCGGCCGGTTTCAATATGAGCCTTATTACCCGTTATTGAGGGGTGGGGGGTTAAATTAGATGTATCAGTACTATTATGACCCTGAGAATCTGAATTACTTAACATGATATTCGATCGACTATTACCTTTCAATGCTAGACATGTTTCCAGAGCACGCCTTTCTTCCCTTATATCTTTTTGCTAATACTAAAAGGATTCATTATTCACGTGACAGAATAGATGCTGATTCAACAATCTTTTCCTGTTGTTTACGCGTCGAACAATTTCATAGACTTTTTTACTGGTACAAACGATTTATTTGATAAATACATATATTTGTAATAGATATACAATAATGATTTACTAAATATATTTATGAAATATAATTAATGAGATATTATTGCTTAAACCTTGATTTCAACAACCCTTCGCCAAGGATTTTACTATATCTCAACGAGGGTAATCGGAATTTGCTAATCTACAATATGCACCATTTCAAAACAAATTATCATACGACTTGTCTTTCCATTTTCCCTTTTCACCGCTGTAAGTCTCATATTCTTTAGGCTCGTATGTTTGGTGGCCAACTCCATTGCCCGCATTTGTCTCTTCATCGCTTACTTCGCTCTCTCCGGACGACGTTGATCCCCTTGTTCCATACGAATGCCTCTTTAACATTCCACCCAACCACGAACTTCTTTTGCGCCCCGATTTATCGCTCTCGGCAGTCTTGTTCCTCAACGACTGGAACGTACCTTTCATGTTTCGATCAAACGATTGAAGGCGTCTGGCTACGGCATCCTCGAGGTTACGCGCTATTTGCTGTTTCACCAGTCTCACTAACAATGGATGGAAAGCAAAGTAGAGAAAGTCGTGTCGTTTGCCCTTGATGTCGACGTACAGGTCGTTAACCGTGCATTTGATTTCTTCGACTTTGTAAACGTGATCCTTATCATCGTTGGCGAAAACGAGTTTGCCAAAAATGGATATTCCACGATTACGAATCTACGGAACAAACAGTGATTATGGTAAATATTTTTACGTTCAGTTTGCAAACTGTGGCCAATGCCCTCTTATTACTTACGGCTAAATCTACGGTACCATAGTCCTTAATATGAGGAAATCCCGTCTTCTTCTTATAATAAAAGCAAACTTTTTGTGCTTCTGCATGAATGCCTTTAACATTGAACGTAAAGCAATGTTCCCGTTTATCACGAACTTCATCAGCGTTGTATAACGAAAGGAAATTACGATTCTATAAAAAATGATTAAATCACACATTGCACACAAAACATAATCTCATTTCCAACGCCGATATCTCAATGACACTTGCCTCCAGTTCAATAAGATTCGGTACAAAGCTAGGGCTGTTCAAGACCAAATTTTCGACCACCACGTCATAGTCATTGTCTCTATATTCGATACGAGGTATTGGAATAGCCGTTATGTGATCGAGAATCAATGGAATAAACGTCGTTCGAAAGTCCATGATAATGTGCGGTTTAAACATGATTCTGCCATGTCTGTTACCCAATAGAATATAGATACCAACGTTAATTCACTTGTAGCAAGCATTATTAACGACTTGCTATCAATCACGTGTTTACCTGTCGAGTAATAAAAGGCTAAATACTTTCGAGACCCTCTCTCCAAGCTCATGCATCAGAGGATCGTTGGCCAATGCTTCGGTATAACTAACCAACTCGTCGATTACGCGTTGTATGGTATCTTTGTGTCTGCCGTTCAAAAATTGACCACGTCTCATTAACTCGCGGCCACGTTCTGTGCTCTCTTGTTTTTCAACGTAACCTGGTTCTTTAAGAAGACTTTTTATGTATTGATTTATCTGGAAATAAGAAAGGCAAGATGGTAAAAGAGTAAATATAAATCTCAAGCCAAGATGGTAAAAGAGTAAATAAATATAAATCTCAAGTCAAGATGGTAAAAGAGTAAATAAATATAAATCTCAAGCCAATTCCGGTAATTATACTTGTCACGTACCTCTACAAAGTATTGTCTGAGGTCAGCGTCTTCGCGTACTTCTGCCATCAAGTCGGCAAATGCCTGTTCAAGCGGGTCAAGAGACTTTCCAGCAAGTGCTTGGCCCAAGCGCTGTTATGATAAGAGTACATACATGGCACAAACATTAGTGCAAAATACAGAAATAGCTTGTCTCCAACACGTTTGGAACATACCTTTAAATGTGCTCGCGCTTCTCTCCAGTCAGAATCTTCTTCTGTAACATTGGTGATATCTTCCTTATATGTAGAAGCACGCTCACCCCATTTAGCAAGGATGTCGAGAAAGTCCTCCACAGCTTGCTGATATTGCTCATGTTTTTGCACTGTGACGACCACTTTAGTAAGCCGTCTAATCAACATAGACCTTCTATCTCCCGACAGCTTGTCACTAACAATGGCAGCACCCTTATCAGCCTTTTGTCTGTGCTTTGCCGGAAGACGTTGTTTAAACTTCTCCCAAGGTTTCGACTTTTGATTATGACGATCAGCGTCTTCAAAGTCTCGAGCATCTGCCATGTAAGGAGTTTTCCCACCTGGAGTACTTGTGTACCCTGGAAGGTCAGCAGGGCTTGGAGAGTCATCGTGTTCAAGAAGCGAGTTATCCCCCTGGCCACTGTCCCTGACGTGGTTATCAGATTGAGGTTCATATCCAGATTCCCCGTAAGCGCGTTTGAGTTCGTGATCGGGTGGTTTAATTGTGGAAGTCAAATCGGCAAATATATCTCGAATGATGATTACAATATCATGAAGAAGTTTTCGAAATTCGTTGTTTGTTGTTAAAAGCTGCGTAATTGTCCATAATGACTCTATGCCTATGGAAAAAAAGCAGACGGGACGGAAATACGCAGAGGATGAGGATATAGATGATAACAAGTTGCAAAGAAACAATCCACAACAAAAACTACTGTTACGAACCCTTCCGAGTCTCCTGCATGACGTTCGCATCAGCACCACTAACTGCTGTACCGCCTATTATGAAATAATCGTTAATTGAGAATCTTTTCTTTTCGGCATTTCGCAAGTATTCTATATATTCCCCAATAATTCCATTTGTTATGCGCATATACTCACTCGCAGGAACAGCGCCCTTCTTTGCAATTTCAGTGAGACACCAAACAAGCTCTTGGAAATCCTCATCAGAATTCTTTCGTGATATCACCTCCTTTGAGACTTTTACGAGCCCTTTAAACTCTTCCAACAATTCTCTGCCTTCTCCCGATAATCGCTGTTTTTTCCTTTCTCTCCTCAATACGCTCAGAACATTATTCAGAAATCGCGTGATTTGTTCATTTGAGGGCAATTTACCCTCCCTAAAGGCTTGAAATATGGAAAGTATTTTGATTTCATTTTTGTCGTCGACGGATAAATATTTTGTTGGTGATATGTGAGCCAAAGGAGTAGTTTCGGTCGATTCTGGTGGAGGTGAGTTGGAACGGTTTATAGTAATTGTGGGTTTGCGGACAAGGTTGCCGCCCTCAGTATGCGTTCGGTGTTCTCGTACCTCGGCTAAAGTCGACATTTTTTCAAACAATCAAACAAGAGTAGGTAGGCGGATCTTCCAATTTTCGGGTCGTTTTTATAAGAATGCCAAGATTCTATAAAATGGTTTTTTCTCACTACCGTCAGTCGTACGTCATTCTCCTTTAACAGATTTATAGATGACACCTACACGATAGAATAGAGTTTGCCAGATTGCCCTTCGGTCGACAATGGTCTAACTATCTAATCCTTTAAACCGGGGAGCGCCCAAACATTATGACGCAATAATACAAAACGATTTATTCTCCATTCGGATGCTCAAAATACGAGAATCAATCCGGACACTGCATCAAGTATCGGGTTAGTTAGGAACTAACGTTCAAAGGTAAGAAGGAGAGTAATTATGTCATCATCGTTTAATGTTTACCTGCGATCAATTGTTGGTTCTAGTAGTTGATACTTCATAAGGCTTGATGTACAGCATCGTGAAACGGAAGCATAATTTACTGGCTGTGACTTTTTTTTTTTATTGAGGGGTCTTATAGGACGAGGACGAATTCACAGACAAAAGTCACGTCTGTCAGCAACATTTAGAAGTTCATGTATGTCACGTCTAAAGCGAAAGTGCGTTGCCGCATTCTTTTAGAAGATGTTAGCTGCATTTATAGAATGTTCTTCAAATATCGTCTAGATCATGGAGCATGTTCTCACGGGATTGATAAGTTTCTTTTGACTGTATCACAGAAGATTTCAGGCATTCTCCTCTTGTCCAGAAATATGAAGCTTTGCTCAGTATATAACGAAATTACCGTTTGTGTTGAGGGAACTGAATAACTTATTGTCAGATTAGGTGTCGACTGTGACTGGAAGTTTACTAGTTTTCTTTCGTAGGCATGATACAACTGATAAGCATTATTACATACAGGCTTTGCAGTCGTTGCTTTTTTTTTTTTTTTTTGTTTTTTTTAGCTTTTCCTAATTTGCTTTATTCCCACTATCGCTATTACTATCCCGTACTTTAATATTGGGGGCTGATAATTTGCCGATCACTTTCAATAGTAACTTCAAATCGCCAGGGTTTTTTGAAGGAAGCAAGCTACGCTCAAAGACTACACCAATACATACTGTAATACCTGCAATACAAGAAAATACCTCCACTTTTTTGAGAAATGTTAAATAAAAGAAGTTTTACATATTAATATGCAAACTTACAATTTGGTCAAAGTAGCGTCATTTTCTTATATGTATTTTACTATTGAAAGTGATCGGCAAGTGATCAGCATAAAAAAACTTGATTTTCATATGAGGCTTCCCCTTGTTCTTATTATTATTATTATCAAATCTCACTGCGTGAAAAGAAAAAAAAGGAAACTTTAGTCTTTAATTATAATAATGGTGAAATGTGATTAGAATATAATCGGCTTCATCTGACTTTTCTCATTTGTTCTACCAGTTTACCTCGGTTATCTATTTTCATCAACACATAAAGATTCCAGTTCTCCGTTAAAGACACAATGACAATTTTTCTAAAAGCTTCTTGGAAATTGTCAGCTGGTTTATTTAATTAATTATATTTTTCTCTAATTTCTAAAGTCTCCAATTAATTCGTTAAATTTACAAAAGTTTAAAGTCCTTATTATTATCCATATGCTATAATAAAGCTTACGTGGAAAAAGCAGTTGGAGCGGTCACAACTGGTCAGAAATACTTTCTTATTCTCGAAGTTGCAATATCTATTATGCATAAAGGAAGTATAATGAGCTTGGAAACTGCATCCAATGCCCGCAGTACTTATTATCAAGGACGCGATCTTTCTGGAAGACGTATAATCTCAAGGCTAGAACACTAAACCGAATTGGGTACTGGAAACATACCTGCCTCAAGATCTCAGGGTCCAAACTTATTACATTGAACCCTCTCTAATATCAACCTCACGGGACCAGGGATGGATATCAGGGGTGTTAGGGTTGTTTTAAATAAATGACGTCATATTAATATGTAATGATATTCATAATAAAAACCTTTTGCCAAGATAAACTATATAAACTAAACCAATTTGCTCACCCTCTTATGGCTCTCCATCTTTGATGAAAATTCCTTTTTTGTTGTTGTCTCGTTTCGTATGAATGCGTCGTAACAGACTTTGCAATTGCAACCGTCCTGGGGTCGCAGCTATATTCTTCTGCTATATTTTAATAATTAGAGAGCTTTCGTTGGCACATTTCTTTATATTAAGTGCATTTGCTTCTTCCGTGGTGAGCGTTCTGATTCTTTAGTTATCTTGTTCAGTGTAAAAGCGCGAATTTTATACAAGATATTCATATATAAACACAAGTAATTCAGATTCCAATAGACAATGATTCATTTATTATATAATAACGGAAAAGCGTGGGACAGATAAATTTGCGCTAACAAAACGATAATAAAAAACCATGTAGATTGTCAATTACTTCTAACGAGGGAGAATAAATTCTTTTCTCTTCCTCGTTAAATTAACATATCATATTGCTGATGTAAGTTCGTTATTGACATTATCAAGCGGTTATAAATAATTTACGAGATGAAATGAAATAATGGGTTACCTTTAAAGCAAACCCAAATTGATGTTCGATCATTGTATACACTCAACTAATATTGCTAAGCTTCACTATTCTACCCGTATTTTTATTTCTCTTTTTCACTTTGCTTAATGCAAGAGATCCTACACCTAACATAGTCTAAAACCCAAGCTTTCTTATCTTCATCCCACATCTTCTCGCGACAGACGGCGACAACTTCATCCTTATATTTAAGTTTCTCATCCTCGCTCAACACACTACAAAAGCTAAACCCGAATGTGTCGAGCCAACCATGCAAAGATGTTGGTAGGATTGTCGGACGAGGAAATAGGGTTAAATCCAGAGGACTTAGTCCGTGGGCAAGGAGTAAAGGTCTTAGAGTTTCTGGATGTGCAAAATTCCTAAATGTAAGGAGAAGCGAGAACAATGATAAATCTATTTAGTACAATAAATGTATTAAAAGTGCAATTTGTATATACAGTACCATGGTGAAATAGCCTTGCCGTCATATCCGCGTTTGTCTAAAGCTTCTATTAGAGCTTGTTCAAGAGCTAGATAAATAAACAAAAGTATTTGTTTAATTATCTAAGTGTAAATTGGAATTCTGCAGTCGTCAACCTATAATATCTGCGTATTCTAATAATCCCGTTATTGAATTTCATTACCAGAAATATTTCCTGCTCCTCCAAATTCAGCGACTATTTTTCCTCCAGGTTTAAGCGCTGCCGCCATTCCAGCAAACACTTTATCGTGGTCTTTCATCCAATGTAATGCTGTATTTAAATTACAAATTTTATAGCTTTTAGCTCAAGTATAAAATGTGAACCAGCTACTTTTTTTTGAAGAATTACACAATTTTCTATACCGGCGTTGCTAAAGATCTTGTCAATTTTCCCTTCCAATTCGTTCTCTTTTACCCATTCTTCCAAATTTTCTGCGGGAACAACTTCAGCTTCTCTTATTCCCTTTTCCCGTGCAGCGATTATCATATTCTCGCTTTTGTCCAGACCAATAACTCTACTGCAGAGATTTTGTATTTCCAAGGTAAGTACGCCATCACCACATCCAAGATCGATAATTATGTCTGTTGGAAGAGGCGAGAGAATAGCAATGAGGCCACCAGATGGAATGGCAGGGACAAAATGAGCGTGGGTTGAGTAAGACGCTGGAGACCAAGGGTCTGATGAAAGTTGACTATGAGCCGCCATGATTCGGAGGATGGGGAGATATAATTCGGGGGGAAATATAATAATTTAATTAATTTGTAGTACAACCGACTAATTATGACTCAAAAATGTTTAATCCAATAAAATTTTGTAGGCGGCGGATAGGCAGTAATATGCAACATAGGCCCGGATAAATATCAGGAAATGTCTACAGGATGAACCTGATTAAAAATAAATCCGCAGACAGATTAGATAGCATAATTATACTTTATAGGTAGAATTCGTGTTTTGTATCGTTTCAAAAGTGTATACTATAAATAATACTTGCTTTTTAGTTAACATGCGAGTCAATGAGAAGCTTCAGAAAGTAGTTCCCATGTTCCATTATTCAGATGTCGCTGACCTTATTTGCAGTTTAAATATAATGACGCTCATGTTTTTAAATTATAACGGTGCTACTTACCACGTATACAGTCAATCTTGCCCTTGTCCCATTAATTTGAGAGATTACAAATTTGTAAGTAATGTCGGATAAAGTGGCAACAGTACAAAAAGTGGTTCAATTGGCATCACTATAATCTTCAATGCAGTCTGTTACTGATAATTTTACAGATAATAACGAATGAGACGGATAATTGATATTATGAACCATTAAATTGTTTGTTAAATTATAGGTTATTTATATGATTATTGACTTGATAATTTTCCGCCCCATTTGCGGCTGCAAAATAATCGTGTGATGGAATCGAAAAATTTGCAAGGTCCATTCGTTCCCATCTCTAAAACTCACGGGTTGTACCACGATGTCAAGTATGACTGGGAGAGAAAATTGAAAAGGATGATTTTGAAGTCTTCTTCCTCTGCAAACTCATCACGCACTGTTTCTTGCAACACTGCAAAAAAGCGGCATACAGCAGGTCCTCTTTGCAAGTTGGTTTATTAATAATAAAAGTAAGATTTATGAACGCGGAAGTGTTTTTTGCTTGGAAATAAATGTTATTTTAAGGATTGCAGTCGAAAACACGGAACGAAACGCGGAAATTTGTCCTCAATTTGCGCTATTCTCTGATTGGCTGTTTCCATATTTTAATTTGTGCAGAACGGAACGGACCAGAATTGAACAGGGCTATAATTAGTTAAAAAGTTCGATCTATTAAATCAACGCCTTCTCCGTTCTTCGCAGCTTCTCCACGACTACATGCAATAAAGTTTGCATGTGTGTTTAGTCGACAAAAATATTGGGACGCACCCTTTTAAAATTCCAATAGTTGGGCACCGTTCTCAAAATTAATCGACTCCACTGCCTATAATAAAATCACGTGCGCCAATGACGAAGAACGTTTATACGAAGTATCATTGCTGAAAGCACTCTGAAGGAAGAATGCATACTGGAATAAAAAGCAAATTTACTATCAATATTAACAATAGAGCATCTCTAATAAATGATAGCAAAAGGAACCCTTACAAACAGCATCATTATTTTACATTTAGTGTTATCCCATTCAATTGAGCTGAGTGCATATTATGTTGCCATGACAATTATATTAATTCTGTAACTTATTTACTAATTTGGATCCGATTGCTTGGATTTGAAAATACAATTTATTATGCTTAATTTTCTGGCCAGACCCAAACAAAGACAAATGTTAAATAACTGGATTGGCCAGACTTGAGTTCAACGTGTCTTTGACCATTTCCATCTGATGACTATTGCGTATATTAGTAAGCAGTAATTTCGTAGTAGGCACGCCATCAAAAGTGTATTATTAATATGTTTCATTTGCGTAACAAATTGTCTGACAATATGCTCTGTATTGTCGGGTAATAGTAATAAACAACAGAACACGAGTCTGTTACCCGTACATATCACAATAATTAGAATACACAAAGCGTGATTATAGCCTCGTTAACTTGACAAATCAAAAGATGCGAAAAAAGAGCACAATTCGGACCGATAAAAATCATCTACACACAAGTCAGATTTTACTGTATCAATAACGTGTTTCAATTATGTGTTCTGAATCGAACGTCCATTCGTTTGTGAGTTTCTCCAAGCATAATTATACATTCGATTATGGATTTATCTTTACCTTTGAGTGTTGAAGTTTGTTTCATTCTCGGAAATTCTATGTTTATGTTGTGCGACAAAGAAGCAGGAGTAATGTTTGGCACTAATAAGTTACAAGCACTGGTAGTACTGAGAGTTGCCACGAGGAATAACTTCGATCAATGTAACGTAGTAGTAATGATAGTATTATTATCTGTTACACTAACCTGTAACTGTGTGAGAGCTGAAGCTGAAACTAACCAATGGGATTAGAGAATAAAATCCGATCAACCAATGAAAGGTCATGGTTTCAGCTTCAGCCGGATCATCAGCCGTGACATTTTTAACTATAAACGCTAGGCCGAAAACCAATGTTGACACTGCCATCGATTATTTAGATCCTTATTTCGATGGGTTTTTGCTGTTGTATTGCTCTTATTGGTTCATTTTTGATACATCCGTATAGTGAAGTCACTTCGACACTCTTTCTATGAACACTGGGACGTAGGACCTTTCCCCCTAACATATCATTATGTCCCTTGCTAGAAGATACAGTAGTTGGATTCAGCACATACAGTCAACCTCTACAAATGCAATCTAATCTGCGAGTCCCTGTCTTTCTCTCTAAAAAAAACATGTGACTTATACAGTACATACCGTGTAACATTAGCACAATGATATCACGTTTCACTCTACAAGTTTGAAATCAACAATTAGGTTTAGCGCAACCCTGAACGGTTTTAAATTTGTCGGAATACCATCAAGGAAATGACCACGTTATCCTCTATTAACGTTAATGCATAAATACAAGCTCATTTACACTGCATTCATGATTGTTAATTTGAAGTTTAACTTAATGCAACCCAATAGTGATTTGGGGGTTAAAAAACTCATATGAAAATCCATAGACGAAGTTTTTTCTGTCGATCATTTCACCGATCACTTTCTATAGTAAAAACATACAAACTTCAAACCCCGATAACTTTTGAATGAAACAATTCATGCTCCTAAAGTCTGCATTTCTACATACACAAAAGCTGCTCTATAAGAAAATAGAGACACTTTTTCGTTTCCCTTGACAAAATAATGGGTTTGCATATGTAAACCTACTTTTGAGGGATATTTCTCTATTTTCTTGTAGGGCAGGCGTTGGAGTGCGTATTGTATAGTCTTTATGAGCATAGCTTGTTTTGTCCAAAGTTATCGAGGTTTGAAGTTGTATGAAATGATCGACAGAAAATATTGATATGTAACACCAGTGATAACATCATTATTAGTGTCATATTAGCGATATTGAAAATCCAATTACAGTCAAGACTGGATATAACGATAACGATATCTAACGATGAAATTTGTCATGACCAAACATTCTTGTTTAACTTCACCTGGTTATACCGATTTTTACTATTAAAACCTCGTTATTACGCAATAACGATACGTATACGACCAACTATTGTAGCAATATATTTTTATACCGATATTTTTGTGTGACATCCGCCCATGATCAATCAAAAACTGTACGAATTTCGAGTATTAGTATACACATAATAATATTCATTCAGATGTTCAATGTCTGATACTAAACAAATGTTACTCAATAAACCCAATATCCAACAAAACGTTTGAGAACACGTTTGACCTTTGCACAAAAAAAAAAATGTTTGTGTTAAACTCTCTAGTAAGCCCAAACCTTCTCAGGGAGAGCTTGCCGAAGGAGACTGTTACGTGTTAGAAAGCTTGGATAATTTTCTCGTTCATCAACCCGGAGGTTTTAATGTACTGTATCGACAGTACGCTCCTAACGAAAACAAGTGCTAACGCACCACGTCAATAATCTATGCTAGACGGTTTTGTTGCCAGAATGTAGTTTGTAATATCATTGAATATCAAACAAGATAGATAATATCTTGTATAACGATATTTTTTCGTAACTATTATGTCATCACTATAAATAGAATTCTTGGCTTGGTATTAACGATAACACGCTATAACCATGAAAATGTGACCTAACGGATATCCAGTCTTGACTGTATATGTTCGAGGTCCTGTCTTGGTACTGTTACACAACATCTAAACTGGTTATCACTCTTTGGGACCCCTTCGAAACCAATTTTATTAAGACATTCAATATATAATAACTTGTATCTAAATGGCTAATGTACAATATGCAATCTGGCAGTTTAAACAAAGACTACAAATTTCTGACATTTGATCTCGTATATTATAATAATTCATGTGCAATTCATACGAAAACTATTTGCGTTACACATAATAATATTGCCAAGAAAATCTTCATTTATCCGCGGGAAAAAAAAAAGCACTGAAGTGGCGGTATTTACATTACACATGCATGAAAACCATCATAAGACCACTTCTCCTTCGTATAGCACTTTACTTACAGATTGCTGGGTTGGAGACTTTTCATACTACTTGAATGGCTGATCTGCCAAATACTTTGGAATAATGACACTCACCAAGATGTAATTTCTTTGACAAACCTGATGGATGTCAAAAAGTAATTAACAGCCACTCTCGATAAGATAAAGTCATCGGGCTGTGACCAAAACAGTCCTATTATATCGAGAGTTCATTATAACGAAAATCTTTTTATAACAAAGTTTATACTTGAGTCACAAAACGCCATTATATCAAAAATAATTTCTTTGTTAACAAATTATTTATATTACACTATAGACGTAAATCTCTTTTTTGAACACCAGTAAGAGTAAACCGCTTATAGCAGGTTTTTTACTAATTATACCTTTTCTATCATTCGTCTTTTTCTTAATTGTCGGGTCAAAGAGAATTCAAAAAAATCGAAATCTTGATTTGTTTAATCGGTTTAATTTGATATAATAATAATAATAGTGATTACCAATTTGTAAATCGAGATCGTCATGGTTCTATATAACTTGCACAAAAACATCATTATAATGTTACCCTCACTATATAGAGCCCCATTTTATTATAACTGACTTGGTTCCAGAAAAAAATCTCATCTCTGGCCAACATCATCTTATAAGGGGGATTGGGTATATTAGAAATCGATGACACTGAACCCCTGTGGGACTGAAATGACCATGCGCTACATAAGTAGCAAAGGAGGAAAGTGAGTATGATCACAGTTTGCAAGTACTCTGGAGTGAGAGTAGACAGTGGGATAAGCTGATACTATAAGCTGATTAACTATGTCATCGCTAATATCGATCAATGAATATAGGCAGGGATGTAGATAAGGTTGCACCCAGCTATATTTAAGATATAGTTCAAGTTAACTCCTTAGTTTCTAGAGGTCTATAGTTAACTTTCTCATAACTATGTAATTGTTTTAATGCAAGTACACCTTTAGCGTTCAATCGTAGGTGTAACTAATAAAAGGACGCAAAACTTCATCTTGTAAGGTATCGAGAGTGACTGTGTATCTAAATTTATTAGGCACTCTTGCTTGTCGATCTGTCAGAAATGTTAATGTATTAAACAATAAATGTACCTTTAATTAATTGCTTGTCACACAATTTCGCAATTTGTCATTTCTTGCATACAATATAATAGGAATAGTCCGATTGGTCTGTTATGAGTCCAAAAAAGGGGATGTTATTAACATGCATTAGTATGCAAGGAACTACGGCCGTATTAGTATGTTATTTACTGAAGATGTATGATCCCAATTCGTATTGTTTAAACTACATTAATCGAAACTATTGCATCTATGGGCTTATATAAGTGTATACAATGACCAGCTTCAGAAATACATCGAAATATTATAGCTCGTATATATTCCGCTCTTCCCAGTTTCGAGAACCGTCTATCCTAGCTCTATGACGAAAAGCCTTGGCATGTTTCGGAAACCAGTAACTAAATAAGGTATAGATAACTGCCTTATTGGTGTCTTGGCACTGCGACATAACCGACCGCCACATTAATTTATGGTGAGTGTCACAGTTCTCCTCTTTTTAAATTATATATAAATGATGCTCATTCCCATTCGTTTTTATTCATCTATCTTCAAAAATGTTTGTATCCAGGCACATGCGACCAAGGGCTATTATAGCCGTAGTAATGTTCGTACTGAGTTTGTTGTATATTTTACTAATACTACCAAATTGGAGCAGCCTGCAAGATATAGCACCATCAACTATAGACTTTACCAACGACACTTCCGACCTTTCAAATTCAGTCATTAATGCTCCACTCGAGCAAGGAGGCCAATCTCCTCCAAACATCAATCAAGTAGAAGGCGATAATGTTCCGCCTGAAGAGCCGATTCCAAGTGACACTCCAAGTGACACTCCACTCGAATCTTCCCCTGACCTCCAAAACGGAGACGGAGGCGCAGGCGCCGATGCTCCAAACAATGATGTTCTGTTAAACCCACCAGAACCAGAACCTCCTACTAATGACATTGGTGATCCTGCATACGAAGAAAATCCGTTAGTCGCTCCCAATAGAGAGCATCAGTTTGTCAGTCCGACAAAGACACATGATTCGGAATTGTATCTCGCTTACAACCCTCATAGCGGATTCCATAATCAGCGTATCGCCTTGCAGAATGCCATTTTTCTTTCTTGGTATCTCAATCGTACTCTTCTGCTACCTCCAATAATACTCGTATCAAAGATCGGGTGGTCCCCATATGACAAATTGCGACGTTTTTTGGCTCTATTGGGTCCAGCCGACAGACATGTAGAGGATTGTGATGTATTCAAGAAGGAGTCGAAGCGCTTAAAATGTATTCGTGATCACGAGAAGAAAACATTGCTGGATTGGGATTACTTGATTGATTTATCGTGGGTCAAGAAAAATGTAAGATTGATGAAACGGCAAGACTTTATATGGAAGAATTTGATGAAATCCCTAAACATAAAAAACGAAGACAAAGAAGTACATTTAATCCCAGACACAAACCGTTACCAAGTCAAGTACTATGATTCATCAAAATCTAGAATACCTCTCGGCAACTATGTAGACAAGATAAACCTTTCTGATCTTGCTACACGTACCGAGAAACTGATTCAAGTAAATTCCATGTTTGGTAGTGGAAGAATTGCTTTAGACGAAAGTGAGAATATAAGTTTCTATAATACTGAGATGAAGTCTTTGGTTATCAATAATCCAAAGGTCATAGGGGTTGTAAACAAAATTGTGAACAAACTCGGGGGAGTAGGGACATATATTGGATTGCATATCAGAACAGGAGATTCATCGTTTAAAGCACGGAAAGCTATTACTGTGGAAAATATGAGAAAATTCATCACAGCCAACTGGGAGTTCTTCAATTACGAAATTAAAAAAAGGAAGAGTGCGGAGGAAGCCAAAGGGAACAATAACGCAACTGATACAGAGAATGGCGACGGTGATCATAAATCCATATGTTCCACCAAATCTGATTCTTCCTTTGCAAAGATTCCGATATATGCTGCAACCGACCTCGAACCAGACTCGCCAGAGTTGGCTTCTCTCCGGAAGGCCTTTCCCTGTTTATTTATATTATCCGATTTCAACAATTATTTAACCGGTTTTGAAATTGTTAACCCAACAGATGGTGTAAATATACGTAAATATCTTTTCCCTTTTATCGACCTGGTTGTTGCTTCAAAAGGGGGAGTATTCATAGGGACGAAGGGGAGCACGTTCAGTGGATATTCATTACAGATGTTTAAAAGTTTCGGTGGTAAATTTGGAACGAGGATATAGTAGAATGTGCAATATTTTTAATAATTTCATATTGTAAATAATATCATTCCATCATTTAGATTTAGATTTGATTTGGTATAATGCAATAAACCGCAAAGTCTTCACCACAACAATATGTAATATGTAACATTAGTGTTTATTGGTTAGCTCTACAAAAGGCTTGAAATACAGTTTTGCCGCTTTTCATGCGCACCAAATACCCACATGTGTATTTATAGTCAATGCAGAATATATCGTGCTACATCTATATCCTAAAAAAAGAAAATTCCGAACCTTAATGAGAACTAAAAATAGGGTCGTTTAATCATGACAGCCCATATGTCGAAAGCCCTCTTATATGTTCTTCTTCACGAGAGATCACGGTACATTTCTTATTGTTCATGATTTCAAGAACTCGGCAGTGAAAGTCCGGGTAAGGTAAGTTATTAAATAGAGTACCTTTTAATTATTCTAAAAGTCTCTTGATTTTTTTAATCTTCGCCCTAATTGACACGAACGTAATAGCAGTGACTACATTGCACAGAATAAAGCTTCGTTATATTGCGGACAAGGTCTACTTAATATTAATAATACATTGAATTCATGACAATATCATTGTTTGCTCGATGTTTACACTAGTCGATTTAACAATGGTTTATACTGTAAATAAGTTCCTCCAACTTCATTCATACTTCACTATATGGTTTGTACTGTATATAACGGCTGCCGGTGTCTTCCGGTAATCGGCGACTAAAATTTTCTCATTAGTTAGTCTGATACAAATGTCCTCGCGATATGACCTGCTTAGGTCAACAAAAGTAGCGTTCATCCATTTGGTCGTTCGTTAATTCTATCTTTAGCTTTTTTGAGAACATATGAAAATCCAGAATATTTATAGAGCTGGCAAGGTTTCTCTGAACTATGGAAATATTAGTCCTAGTTGTCCAAACTGTTATTACTGTGAAGTCTCCAACTAAAAAACTTGAAAGACTCGTTGGCCTGTCGTTTAAAAGTTCATTACTATAATTTATTTCCCATTACGATCAGACAGAGAATTGATACAGAATCTCGCCATAACAATGTTCTTTTCAATTTAAATATCTTTAATTGATGTGGCGGCTTTCAATATTGGAACGATTTTGAAAACGATTCGGAGAAAAGCCTGTCGCAATTGTTTTCTTGTTGTCCTGGAGATCATCATCACTATAAGGCCGAAGACTAAAGCCATGTAAACGGTTAGATTAGATATCGAATAACTCCCCGTATTAAATATAGAAGAACTCCCCGCAGTAACTGAACCAATTAACGAATTATGCAAGTATGGAGATAGTCTATCCCTAATTATAATAATCTTCGACATTATTCGTTCAAAAGTGTTCTCAGTAGGTCGAGATACTTGATCATTATCATCAGGTGACCGTGAAATTTGAGGTGACGTTTTCATGTTATAATTTCGTCCTCGCTTACGAGCACTAATTGATGTCTCTCTTGCAGTTGTATGCGAAGAAGATGAAGCTTTACTAAAAATTTTATGATTATTCGTAGTAGAAGCCATGGACCACTCGTTGTTGCTCGTTGACGGAGAAACGGAGAGTTGCCTAGCGACCACGCTATTTCCATTGCGGTGACTTTTGATATGTCCATTTGCCTGCTCTTTCTTTGGTTTCTCTTTCCTCGGTCTTGACTGCCGCTGTATTGGAGGTCTTAGTGATTCGCTTTCTAAACTTTTTATCGTGTCTTCATATACCTACGTCAAGCCATTTCACTATATAAGAAATCTGGTTGCAAATAACAAGATACAATGGCCTGACTTTATACCTTCTTGCGGTCCGCATCAATGATCATATTATCACTTAGGAACATTCTTGCAAGACTCCATTCCTTGAGCCGTGTCAGCACATGAACGACATATAACTCGATAACTTTTTCATAACATTTCAGAATTTCATCATCTGTCCTCCCCCCGACTGACGCATTCTGAAGGTGAGCAAATATTGCGTCTGGAAGACATGCTAACCAGTCTTCGATAACCCTTCGAGCTAGATCAGGAAGCTGCTGACTTATACAGAGTAACACGCTGAGATACATAGTAAGTAATGTCTTAGTAAATGCTAAAACATGGATCAAACTTTTGCGACTATGACTCCTTACCAAGCGACTACTGTTTCTCCGTCTACTTCCCCTTCTTCATTCAGATAGGCCTCAGCCACTATTCTTGACCATACCCCACTGACAACCGCATGCGGTTTGCTATCTAACAAACGTCTGATTTCGGGGTCTTCTGATTGTATCTGTGTCTTGTCGGCTAGTATGGCAGCAACAACATTTACATATAATGCGCAAAACTTTTTCCGTATTTCTCTAGCCTCTTGTGAAGTTAGAGTTGCAGGAATCAACCATGAGAATTCAGAAATTGCCGATAAACAGAGCTTATTAGCCAAGTCATACTGTCGAAGAAATAGACTGTCTGTGGCTTTGTGGTAGTCAGCGACTAGTCGTGGGAGGTTGGACGTTGGCATGTCTTTGAATGGTTGAGATTCGAAAACGTTGGCCGTGTCGAGAGCCATCATTGTTTCGGCCTGTTGGAATAGTCCATGTATGTGTATGAATAACTTATGTTTGAATCCTGGGCTACTTCTGTGGTACCACACTAAGTTTTGAAAAAAGATTCTTCCTTGTTATTGGTTATTAACCGATCGTGAGATTCACAGGTGCATTAGCGGATGGCGCAACATATTAATATCAACTTCTGCGCTTTAGCCCCCAGTCATTGGCCGTTTCTGCGGTTAGATAGATGATCTCTCTAGTACTAGATGAGATGGACAATCTTATCTCTTTCATATAGGCGTCGTGCCAATAATTCCCATAGTGAGAGTTTACAGTAAAACAAAGCTATAAGTCATAGCATTAGTTCAAATTTAGGATTGCGCTCGAGAATTCCGGCATGGCTAATTATAGACATATATCAAATGTAGCAATACCAATGCCCCACTTTATAAAGGTTCCAGTCTTATGATATGGGTGGTATTTTTTTAAAATTTCAACCACGTAGCTAACAGCTCCTGCCCTGTATATTTTAGATAACTCCCAGCAGAAGTTGATTAATCATAATATTGGAGAGTTTAAGGCTATATAGATAGATAATAATAAATAGCTACATCTAAGATGTAGCAGAATATTCATTATAAGTAGAAATATATAAAGATCTGTATCAGATTTGGGATTATATTTGTATAACTAGCTTTAATGTAATTTCTAGTTATGCCAATTAGTAGAATCATTGGAAAAGAATTCATTGTAACTGTGTAAACCACTTACGCGACCCTCAATCTGGGAGTTGGGCTTTGTCTGTTCTATATTTTGTGTCAAACTATTTATAGAACTCTGCCCCTCGCTATCAATATTATCTTTTTCCGTTACAGAGCTAATTTATCTTCCAACGTTTTAATAATGGATTGAAGCGATTTATCTCACTTGATTTTATAGTAATTTTTCGATTTCCAATTTAGACAATTTGTCTTTAAGAGATAAAATTTCTTTTTGAGCTGAAGCCAATTTCGCTTTCAACATTTTGATCCCAGATTGAAGCGATTTTATCTCCCTCAATTCCATAGTAATCTGACCCTTGCATTGAGCAAGCGATATTAGAATTTTCAATTTGGAGCCGCTTAGTATTAGCCTCATTCACAGCCTCCAAAGTATGTGTGTATCTTCCGAATCTCGTGTTCCAACCGCTTTTTCTCCCCGTCCCAACATTTTCTTTCTCGATCAAAATTTTTGCTTTGCTTTAGAATACTATTCCGTAATTCCGCATTGCATTCGCGCAACTTAGACGATGCTTGAAAGATACGGCGTATTTCTTCCTCAAGATCTCGTTCCTTAATCATAAGTATATATAGATGACAACTGACTAACTATTTATTTTGTGTTATAAAAAGCGAATAAATTTGTTTTTGAACGTTATAAAACGTTCGTTAACGTTAGTTAACGTTTTAAAATACATCAAACTTATAATAAGTAAAATAATATAATTTAACTTTACGCTCGAAAGTGCGCGTGTGGTACCACTTCGCTTTACGCGTAAATGACCTCGGCCTGTAGGTGACTTGCTTCACAGAAGAAATCACTTTGAACAATTTCTAACGATATCAAACGTTTTATTTTGTTCGCTAACGTTTTATCGTTTAAAATATTAACCAAATATTGAAACATGACTCTCGAAAACTTATTATCGGCGAGGTGCCACGAAATTGACCCCTGAACAAATCGAAGAAATTAGAATGCTAAAAAATAATATCCCTATCTATAAATAATAAGAAAATACCATATTCGCGGAGAGCGTGTTCTTGATATATGGGACAATTGCGAGCGACTTCAACAAGGCGTAAATTACTTGCAAGGCAGAAGTACTCGTGTGGCCAATTTAGATGCAGGGGCGTCCTCACTCCGCGAGACAGATAAGGGGGAGGCAGGTCTCCTTGCTTTACAATATCCCGGATGCAAATCATGTTACACATAATGTGCTTGCCACTCAAGTAACAAGAGATGTTTCGGATAAACAAATCGAGAAAAAAAAAAGTTACAATCTGAATCTATACTAATCTCAGATTTGCCCACTGATTTAGGACACATAAATGCTCTTGCAAAACAAATAAAAAAGACAGAATCAGAAGATAATTTGTATGCCCGAGTTAAAAAAGAACGAATGAAAATAGAAAAAGCGATATATAAAACAAAAAAATTGTAATTTCATTTCCGAGAAATCATTCGATGTATTCATTAATGCAAGTGCATACATAGGTCCTGCTTTGCTATAAAAAGTGAAAGCCGATTAACGAGAAGTTTAGAAGATAAAGCTTCGAAACTTTGTCTCATATGTATGTAATGCTTCCGTAGAAGTTTATTGGCTTCAACTAATTTTGGCGTTCGAATCAAGAATCTCGTGTAATGATTTTACGAGTTCCTCATAACTCATATCGTTTTTCTTTAACGGCTCACATACCTGATCAGATGATAAAGTATCCCCATTTTGTATCACAGTGGCACAACTCATACACAAGTTTCAATTCTCGTTTCGATGCAAGTAAATCGTAATCATATTTATTAGGAGAGTATTTCGCAAAATTAGCATGGGTTTGGGATATTTGACTACCGCAAAACCAGAATGTATTGCAACCTCGGGCATAATTGATAAAACCCTTAAGGGTAAAGTTGAATGAGACATTAGTACCCGTATTATTAATAATACATAGACTATAGAGACAATGTATCTCATCCTACTTCGAATGAGAAATTTTAGTCCCAAATTTAGCATGTATTAATCTTTATTACAAACTCTTACCAAGTTTCTTAAGTTAGTTGCTATAAAATTCTAATTCTTGCTTTAAATTTATTATTCGTTCATTCACATGAGTCCAGATAGTTTTTCATTATCCGTTGTATTCCTTGTTCTGGTCGTCATATTAACGAGTTTACCATATTGTGTAATTGCTATTTTTCAACTCTTCAACCAAATGCAGAAGAAACTCCTCTCTTAATAATAGACTCTTTTCATCTGTATGCTAATTATCGTCAGTCCTCCTACTTCCAATACAAATCAATGCGAAAATTAGCATCAGTGACTGCAGGAGCTCGAGGTGTGTATGTAGCCACATATGGATTTCACTGACGGTACTATGATAAAATCGTCTTCATTGGCGCGCTATGTTATACCATGGTACTTTACAAGTATCTCGTGTAACAATCTGATCATAACCCCTCGTTATTATTCACGTAGTAACTGAAGTTGACGGGCTTACTTTTTGTGATGGATTGGTAATATAGTCAATTTGTAACACACCATGGTACTTTGCATTCCACGAGCTTCAAAATGGTAGAGGTGGTGTACTTTAGTCAGCGAAATACGGTAATCTAAAATCCGGGGAATTGCACGCAGTAGGCGCATTGCTCCCTTTTCGAAGAGTTCCGAAATCCCAATAAAAAAAATTTTAAGTTGTGAAGTTGCTTGATTAGAAAAAAGTATAACATTTTATCTCTTAGTATCACAAACCTGGTACTGGCTGTCATCGATCTATGTCGTTCATCTTTTTTTATGCAATTTTATCCCAAGCACGTATCGTACGTAGGCTTGGTTCATCCATAGTTCGCATTTAGCGTTCCAGTTTGTGGTAGACTGCCAGTTGCCTATCTCACAAATTATTCGCGCGTGTGGTTTAAATATATTATTGTCATTTTCAAATGCTGTAACCCTAAAATTTGGCACGCATGGACACACCCCATAACAGAAATCCATTCAGCGCTATGATGGAATCTGGCATTATCCATCACAAGAACGCTATTTTTGCCAGGAAACGGATTCATATGAGGTATCTGCAACATGTAATATCAATATGTTAATATATATGTTGTATATAAGATTTACAAGCCTTGAATAAAGCAAGAACCACATACCACTTGAGTATGTATAAAATCTTCAAACTTCTTTTTATTGTAGCTCCCCTCGATAACCTCGACGGCAACATTTTAAAGCTGGTAGTATCGTATAGCGTTTACATTGTCTTAGATCGAGCGTTCGTTCGTCTTTGGCACTTTCATCGAGGAACACAAATTGTTCGAGTACATAGCCATTCCCGATTTTCGCAACTCGTTTCTCTCCGCTGCCATTGTATGTATCTTTTGATAATATTAGTCGTTAATTACAGTCATAACTACTTGACAATGCAATCTTATTCCATACAATAAAACATTAAATACCTTCTTCCGCGTAATTCCACAATATTTCAACGAGCCATAGTGTTGGAATTAATCTGGTATTGCTTCCATTTCCACAATCAATTCATCCAAATACCAATCGACCCTTTCGTCTAATAGTTTTTTCAGATTCTGTTATTGAATATGTGTGTTAACGTTTATGGAAAATAAGGAAAAATCCAACTAAAGACCTTCATGTCACTCACTGCCTTTGAACAGCCTTTTACGACCACAAGCACCTTTAAAGGGATTGTCTACACAATTCCATCTCCTAAAGTTCCTTAAAGTCTTGCATATGCCTGAATACTCATATGTTAATAAAGAAGTTTACTAATCCGTCGTTTACTATATCCGTCACAACCTTAGAATCGCTTGAAGTTGAATTGTAATCACCTGTAATCAGTTTGTAATCGCCCTGTAATCGATTCGTAATCGCCTTGTAATCTCGGGTTCCACTTTCACAAAGGAAGTTGTAACTTGACACACTGGTCTCTACAAGCTGCAAGAAGGTTAGGTAGTCGCGGAAATTGAGACTTGTATTCACTATACTTATATAATTTCTTATAACCCGCGAAAGTCGATTTTTTTCCTGTCCCGTGGACAATCACAGAAAACAGTATATCAATACATTGAAATACAATTACATACCGGAAGAGGACCAGGACATGACAAGCGAGGTTATCGGACAAGATTCAATTTTGGATATATCGATATATCCGGTGCTATCAGTTCATCGGGTCGAGAAGGACTGTAGTGAACTAAGATAATGGTATGATGTTAAATTATGTACTACAGATCAAACAATTTGAAAGAACTTATTTACAACCATCAAGGCGAACGCGTATTGAGACAACAAAGACATGGTTGTTTGGAACATATCAATAGTGAAGCAACTTTACCATGTTCAGGATTGCCCATGCCAATAATGTATACGTCACCGCCCTCTTCTCGTTGATACTTGTAACCCGAGGACTCTTGTCGTGTAAGGAACTTATTGTATTCTTTTATTGATACGTTCGAGCCGATCTTACAAGGCAAACTGCAATCCATACGAGTTAACACTGAACAAACATTAAAGTGGGTTGTATCTGATACCCACCTGGCGACTTATCCGGAAATTGAGGACGGTGTGACTATTCTCGCAGTACTTTCTTCGTTGTAACGAGAGGAAGAAGACTAATTGAAGATCACGTAAGAAGCTAATTCATATACGTACGTATCACAAAAGTGATTGGCTGGTGATAATTATAATCTGCAGGGAAATGAGGCTCAGCGTCTATTGTTTCCATTGTCATCCTTGTTTTTACGCTATTGTTATTTTTTACGGCCAGCGACTACTCAAACAGAATGACAAGCTCCTCTTTATGATATAAAGAAGGAACAAGATGAACTTGCTAAATCGTACAACTACTACAATATTTTATTCACTGATTCTATACTATTCAATATATCACATATAGCAATTTAATGCACAGGAATAACATTAAAGTATACGTGCTTATACAAGACAAAGATTACTCTCGATACGCTCAAAGTCCTTAACGATGTATAATTATTGGCCTTTATCAATATTTGTATACACCTTTTTATAATTGTAAACTCCAACCTATTGAAAGGGTATGGGCGGTGATCTCAAGGGTGAAGTTAACAGCTCCATATTCAGATCTTCTTTCCATTAGAGACAAGTTATTATATTCTTTCAAAGAAGTAGGCCCCCGAAGGAAGCCCTCACTCTGCGAGAAGTGAATGCAATAAAAACAAAGAAGCGTGATTAGTATTTATACAAGTCAATGATTTCAGCTACTTCCGCTACGGCATCGCTCTGCGAATGGCGTTGCTTTATCCGGAAGGTACCCCCTTGGCCTGTAATTTACGACAACATAGTTCTGCGTTGATAAAATGTTATTATCTGGACGCTTCTTGGGCAATTGTCATAGCGTGAGCTAGATTTTTGGCTCCATGCGCTACTATGGCATATATTGCAACCCATTTTGCGCGAATAAGTCCATAGGATTTTAAATATTTATTAAGCTGTTTAACTCCGGGTTTACGATTCTCGAGTTTCCCAGACGATATAGCATTCTGCAATTATTTTCTTTTCCGCACACAGTTTACGAAATTTTTACGTAAAACGTATACCTTTGTTAGACATTCGCAGAAGTGAGCACAATTTATTTATACTTTTTCTAATAGTTTGTTTTATTACGATATTTTCCCGCATGTTTAACACACATATTGTATGTAGAAGCAGTTGGTGTACCACACTCTCCGCAAGGAAAGCGCGATCGCATTTTCAATGAAGGGCACAACCTTCTTGCCGATAACAGCCTTTTCCGCAAACACGTCCATTGATGTAAATATGTGGACAAGAATAGAATGCCATTACTAATAACTGTACCGATCGCTTTCAATTTCTATATGAAATAATTATTTTTCGAATTAAACATTTTGTCGTTATTATAACTTAATAAAATATACATATCTCACATATACCAGTCAATAAAATGTCCTTTGCGGAGATACCGACCTATGAACAAAGTTCAAACATCGACTATTTTTCTTTCCAGCAGTTCTGGCATGTAAATGAAATTTGAAATGCATCTATTAATGCACAAGCAGACTTTGACAATTATAGAAATGGAAGAAACCTCGGAATACAATAGCGATTCTGGCGACGATTTGCCAAATCTAAATGTAGATAGACAACGAGTTTGGCAAATATAAATATCTTAATCGTGCTGACTGCCCTAACTTTACGCTTCAGGAAAAGTCCGACCAGAAAGATGGATTATCCGACAAGAATATCCCCATTGTTATAGTTATTTCCACAACCTACCTGAGTTTGAGAAATGGCATGAATTAATACCTGAAAACCAACGTACATTTCACAATCGGTCGCACGTAAAAAAGATATATGCCAGACAAACACTACTATTGATAACGAGACACCCAAATCCTTAATTCTTTATCTACAGAATTTCTCATCAAAAACGAATCTGATATAAATACCCTTATCCTTCCTTTACAGCAAAATTTTTTTTCGCGCTAAAAATGTTCATATTTATTTTATTACGCTATCTCTGTATCTCTTTTTATAGTATAAAAAGATCTATCGTTCACAAGCGCAATAAGCTACGATGCAAACACAATTTTGTCATCAATTTTTGATGTTTTGGAGACCAAAAAGCGGGACAATGATAGTATCTCGGACGTAAGACTAGTTTTGGATTTTGCGAATTTTTTTTGTGGCAATGTAAATAAATTATGACATCATCGTCCAATATAGTTAGTATTATTAAAAAGCCATCATCTACTCATATAAAGATCTTCCCAAGTCGATTGATATCCATATGTTAGAATATCATATAAAACGTAATGTTCCAGATTAAGTGCAATCGAATTTGAGTGCGATATGTTCTTAAGCGTTCTAAAATTATGAACAAAAATATATAAATTATTTAGTCCTCCGAGTGGCAATGAATTTATTTTGAATACGTAATTAGTTGTACATCAAAATAGAATTTATTACAGAGAAATATATTAGGCTGTGGTACCACTGCAAAAGCACTACAACAAAAATTGAATTGTCAAATACCGGGATAACTCGATGAAACTGGAATTGCAATTACAAATTGCGTCCTAGCGGCAGCAGTACGGCAGCGGAGGTGCCAAGTTTATTCACATTATAATAATAACGATCTTGAGCATATTTCGCCTGGTCGATAAAGCCATTCAATTACTACATTCTGGATTTTCTAGCTGAATTAATACGGTTTTTCCATAGACTGGGTAATAGTTGCTGATCGATTTTTTTTATACAAAGTCACAGAATATACTAATTTCCTCAAATTAGACTTCTGATCCAGCTATATCCCAAGGGTCCACTACATATCACCCAGACATCCTGCTTGATAAAGAATGCAAAACCTCAACCCAGATATCTGCATATGCTGCATGTACCCACCACTTGCATCCTCAGTTTTTCAAAATCTAACAGACATCATGCAATGAGGTTACCATGATACATGAGTACTCCAATTGAGTATATTGTGTTAGTGTGCCCTGTGATGCGCCGCAATCGATGACGTATTCTCTCCTTATTTCTGCGCTTCTCCAGCGATGCCGCAGTCCAAATCAATC